CTGAATGAAAGTCAACGTCAACACCCAACATAGCTTTATCTTGTCTCATTTGCTCTAATTCTTTCGACCAACCTTCTCTTTCTGCTTCAAACTCAGCTCTCAGGATTTCAATCTCTGATGGAACCACCTTAATGCGATCTTCCATAGAGATATCCTCATTTTGGTCTGGTAGAGGAATATTTTCATTTTTCCTGACAGATCTCCATTCCTCATAATCGGGAGTTAACATTTCTTTTGTTGCTTTAGCTCGAATACAAAAAGTTGTTTTCCAAGCTGTAAAGGCCTCCATGATATTTCTTTTATAATTTTTGCCGTAGAATGCGAACTCAGACGAATGTAATCCAACAGTGACAGGAACAAATTGACGACCTTCATATTGCCTTATAACCAGAAGTGGTGCATATCCGGTTCATCCCCATAATCCAAGCAGCATCACCCAGTTGTAATCACCACATTTGTAAAAGAATTCCCTTTGGATTTGCCACGGGGCTCGCCAAACAATGTCATCGCTTTACAGATTTCAAAAGGCATTGATCCACATATCTTTCGTAATTTCTTTCGGCCATTCTTGTTCCATAAATTCTTTCAATGGTGAGTAGTTCGTACTAAAGCGCCGGTATGAAACCTTTTCTGTCCTCCAAAAATGGCTACGGATCCAGACATATAACAATTGGGCACATCCTGAGAATCGTCCACCTCCTAGCCTTCTACAAGAGTTTAATGATCTGAAAGTTTCTGCTAGAATTACAGAAGCAGGATTGACCCTTTTTGGTAGCTGCTCAAACAAATCTACTACTGCAGCCTCAATATATCCCAATACTTTCGGGAAGATGACCATACCATATATACCCAGAGCAAAGAGATCGAATCGTACTTTATCATCTGGATGACTCTGAATAAGTTCTTTAATGTTGGTCCAAGCAATGCCTTCGCTATCGCCCTTTTGTTTCGTACGAGCTATTATCCATTCTTCTCGTACTCCGGTAATCTTTGCTAATTTAACTCGAAAAGGTTGAGTTTTAACTGGCCTTGAATAAATTCGATTTTCCAAGACCCCTTCTATATGTAGCAAAGTTGTGTACTCTTCAATAGTAGGAACCAAGTCCTCCTTATTGAAAGTAAAACAATTATAACCAGGATTCCATGATTGAATCAGGGCTCGAAGCAAGTTATCATCAACTTCTACATAGAGCAAATATGGGATGTCCCCGTAAGTCTGATAAAACTGTAACTTTTTGTTTGAGTCCCAACTCTCCCAAATGCCTCGCAAATCTTGCATATAATTTCTTTTTAGCAAAACCGGAACATAACTTGCCAACTCAGGTACATAATCATCCTGCAGACTATCTCCCCCTTATCTTTGTAAGTTCTCAGCCCACTATCTTACTTCTGAGTTTGGAGCTATTTGATTTGAACACTTTTTATCCATAGATGAAGGTTTTCCAATAAGACGATTAATACGAAGATCAATACATTTAATCCTGTATGATGCTATGCAAAAATAACAGAACACACAAAAAGAAATGAATTGGTTCACATAATAAAGAAGTAAAAATTAATTTAATAACATCTATCCAAATATTTCTAATTAAAGATGCTTTCTACATAGCATACTTAAAATAATTTAAATTTTCATGCAATTTATTTAGCAAATAAATAAATTAAAAGGAAAAAGTTAGAAATCATTTCTCCTTTGTGTACACCTATTTTGGACAAAATTTCGGCATGGCTTTAGATCAGAAGAGTTTCTAAGGTTTATTATATGTAGAGTTTCAGTTCTAAGAGTAAAGGTACCTGAATTGTCCTTGTTAGTGCCCCCATTGGGCTACTAACCCTCAATCCTAGTCCATTACAGACTAAAGTGGATAGAGTTCAATTCGAGGGGATACACTTCTCTATGCCTGACACAGAGAATAAATTCCCACGAAGACATAGACCATATGAACCCCGAAAGCTACTTGTTAGGTCTGACACAGAGAATAAATTCTCACGGAAGACGTTGCTTTTACTCCCACTTAAAAGGGACAAGCTTGATTAAAAAGCTTATGTTATGCAATGCATGTGTTGTGTGTGAGGAGAAATGTTCAAACCTCTGACAGAAAAAATAAAATAATGAAATAAAATATTTGTAAATAAAATGAAATATTAATAAAATAATATACATATCAATATTATGGAAATAATAAGTATATATAATAAATTTTGAAAAGAAAGAATTAAAAAAATTAAATATATGAATTTTTAATTTATAATTAATAGAGACAATTTGTAATTGATTTTAAAGTTTGACCAGTCCCCAGCGGAGTCGCCAAGCTGTCGTAACCAGTTTTCGTCCGGGTACGAAATTTTACTTGGCGGGAAAAATAAAACGAATAAATAAATGATTTTGATTTAAAAAATATTTTGGGAGTCGCCAGTGACCTTTTTGGGTTAGGTAGGTCAAATACCAAAAAAACAATATACCAAAAAAAACAATCTTTTAAAATAGTTTTTAAGAAAACATAATTTAAAAGATAAACTGATCTGCATATAACCAAAAATTTTACTAAAATAGGATTCGTGGTCGATTACGTTTAGGGAAGGATGAGCACCCCTATAACACCCAAAATTCGGTACTTTTTAATTATAAATTGTCTCTTTTATTAGAATTTTAATGATTCAAAAATATATATTTAATCTATAATTCTGTTATTTCAAATTTATTAGTATAATTTTAATAAAATCTATTAATTTTTATATAAATAAGATATTTATTTATTTAGAAATATCAGAAAAGGGCTTTTAGGTGCTTTAAGACAGCTCTTTTCTTCGATATTAAAAAATAAATATTAATAAAATGTTTCTTAAAAATTAGTATATATTTTATAGGATAAAATATCCGAAAACGGACTTCTAGGTGCTTTAAGACAGTCCTTTTCTTTAATATTATTAAAATAGGATTATATTTTTTTATATAAAAATAATTTATATAAAGGATTTTAATAAAAAGTAAAATAAAATATATATTATTTCTTATATATATAATTATAATAATAATATTTTAAATATATTGATAATAAACATATAAAATTAAAACAATAACTAAAATAAATGAAATTAAAAATAATAAACTAATAATTTAAAGTTAATGACTAAATTAAAATATATTAAAATTAAACATCATAATTCGTAATTAATTAATTGAAATTTCAGTGGCTAAACATGCTATTCTACCCCTTTATTAATTTAGTGACTAAATTAAAATTATATCAAATTCGTACATCAAATTAAAAGAAATTAAAACATGCTATTCGGGGTTTAAAATATTAATTAATAAAATTATGAGGGCTAAATCGGTTATTTTACCTAAAATATATAAGTAAATCAGTGGCTAAATTATAATGAATAAAAATTAATAGACCAAATTATAATATATATAAAAACATGCTACAAGGATCAAATTGTAAGTTTTCAAAGTTACAGTGGCTGCGGGAATAATTTAGCCATGCACGAAATTACACAAAGGCCCTCCCTTAAACGACGTCGTTTAAGAGAGGGTATATATACCCGGTTATAGCTGGCCCTTCGGGCCACCATCTCATTTCTCTCTTTTCTCTTCTCTCTCTAAACTGAGAGAGTTTAAAACTCTCTCTCGCTTCTCTCTAAAATTGAGAGAGAGAGAGCACCGGCCGGCAGCCTTGTGCCGCCGTCAACCTTACCGCCAGTCACCGCATCCGGTGGCCGAAAAATTTTATTTTACACCAAAATATAGATCGGACCGTCCTAATGACGGTTCCGGTGTCCTTTTCTCTTAAATGGCCCCCGATCGGAGCAAATCTAGGAAAATACCTTCAGTTTTCGAAGGTTTTTTGTGACGCGTGGAGGCTCGTATGAACTCCGGTAATGGCGTGGCTTCCTCGGTAAGTATCTCTCCGTCTTTTCCTGGTTATTTTGGTGTTTTAGTGGTTGCTAGGTTACTTGTTTTCCTATGTTGTTCTCTGTGGCTTGCTTCCTCTTTTTTTTTTCTTCCTTCTCTTTTGCAGGTAAACTGAGGCTTTATAGCCACTCCGGTACTAGCCTCGGACCGGTTAATATGGTGGCAGTTTGGTGAGTCACCAAACTTTAGTGGTGACTCACAGTGGCTTTGAATGTGGACGGTTGGGCTTGAGTATTCTGGAAGCTCTCGGTTGGCGTCGTGGCAGCATGTAGACTTGCGTGGAACAGCGTAGATGATACAAGGCCAGATCCAACGGCTGTTGTTGTTGGCGGCTAGGGCAGAGATGATACAAACCCTAACCATTTATGGTTAATGTTTGGGCCATCGAATCCGGGCCTCTGTATTTGGGTTGGGTCTGTAATAGTAAATAAAATTATTTAATAATAATAATAATAATAATAATATAATAATAATAATAATAATAATAATAATAATAATAATAATTATAATTATAATAATAATAATAATAATTATAATAATAATAATAATAATAAATATAAATAATATTCAAATGAAAAAAAAACGAGTATCTTCACGTCTTTACGTCAATAACTCTATTGATTAGCCAGTCTTACCAATGATTCTGCACGTGAAAATGGAAATGTTCCATGTACGGACATGGAACCTTTATCTACATGAATTCATTACAGTAGGGTGAAGCAATGCTGCTTATGAAGTTATACCCAGTACCAGAAGAAATAATCTTTTTCCTTGAACAGATGTATCATTCATCAAAAAGAACTACATGGTCTCTTTTGTATCATATACTGCTCATTGAGAATTCAAGATGTAATTGCAAGCTTCGATGATTTTATTTGCACTAGAGGATAATTCTTACAGTTTTATTAATCTTTTCTATAGTATCTCATAATCAAAATTGGAAATATTGTCTTAATCTGTTACCAAACAAGTCATATAAACACAACAGTCATCGGATTGATTACTTTTGTTAGACACACAATATGGTATTGGTATTACTTGAAAATTGAATGCTATATATAGACCCTGAAAATATTTAGACTACCTTAAAGAAGGATCAGCACCAACACTCCCTCAGCAAGCAAGTGCGGCCACATGCCATACCTCGGATAGATTCTGGAGGCATATTTCAATCAAAAAGAAAAATACATAAATTTGTCATTTCCAAGCACAGTGCAGCATTAAAACCTATAATGAATTTCATTTCTGCATGATATGCCCATAGCCAAAATTTACAAGATAGTTCCTGCATAATTACATTTGAGACTTCAAAATTAACGGCTGTTATCATCTCAACCTACTTAAAATGTTGAGAACAATTTTAAGAAGGGAACCATCCATAAAATTCAACTGGGTTTGTAAATGCTTACTGAGAGATTGATTAAGTTGCCCAGAATTTTAATGTTTCACAAGAAGATGCAAGAGGGAAAAAAAGAATAAAGTTTAGTATATCAACGTGAAAATAAAGATTTCAGTTTTCAAACCTCCGATCTTCAAAACTGCCATGCAGATTTTAACAGTATAAAAGAGCATGACATAATAGAAACCGGATAAAAAACCTATGGCACAATACTTCTTCCTAATTCCTGAGACTAGCAGATGAGATCCATACACTGTACAAATGGCGATCAACTGGAAAGGGATAGGCTTTATGATCAACCATTTTCTCATAAAACACAACTTTCTCCATAATGTCGAAAATTTTCATAGTAGCAGCACCATCATTCACCCACCCAAGCCATTCTTGAATGAGTTGAAGTGTAACACCAATGGTTGTGTTATCGGTGTCATCGATCTCCAGAGTAGCAATGAATGATGTAAATAATAATTAAAACAGAAGTTGCAAAGTTCAAAAACAAAGTGTATTATGCATAATAAGGCAAAGAAGTAGGTCAAACATAACAGCTGCTAGTATGTCGAAGCGACATCTCCTTGTTGAAAGTCAAATAAAAAAAAGAGATTTGCAAGTGGAGCGGCTGAACTAAATCAACATGGGCGGCTAGATAATTCAACAAAAATTAGGTTGCCTAATTTTGTTGAATTTTGTAACAAGGTTAATTATTTTTAGTCATTAGACTTTAGGGTATTTTCAAAGATTAGTCCCTAAGCTTCAACTATAAATACCCTAGCTCATTTAGCTTCAAAATCATCCCAAAATCATTTTCTTTCTCCCAATACTAAAGAGTTTTCTTGTGAGTAGTGAGTGTTTTGTAAACACCTGTAAATTTCTCTCTTAGTAAAAGATCTGCAGCAGTCCAGAGACGTAAGTAAAATTGGCTGAACTCCGTTATCAATTTCGGGTATTATTTTTCCGCTTTTATTTCGCTTTCTCACTAATCTGGTTATAGGAAAATTATTCGTTCTCGGTTTATATCCCAACAACTGGTATCAGAGATTTTGGTTGCGAATTTTGTCAATTTTTGCGAGGTTACTATTCATTACTATTCACATGAATAGTGAATTTCGTGAATAGTAAAATTTTGTCGACGATACGAATTTGTCGACGGAGGTGATGGAAGGGAAGGTGAAAATTGAAAAGTTCGATTGTGCGGACTTTGGCTTTTGGAAGATGCAGATTGAAGATTTTTTGTACCAGAAAAATCTATATCAACCTCTCTCAGGAAAACAACCAAGGGGCATGAAGAATGAAGACTGAGCCCTTCTCGACAGACAAGCCCTCGGAGTTATCCGACTCACGTTATCCCGCAATGTTGCTTTCAACATAGCAAAGGAAAAGACCATGGCGGGTCTTATGGAGACTCTCTCTAGTATGTATGAGAAGCCATCGGCCTCAAATAAAGTTCATTTGATGAGGCGATTATTCAATTTGCGGATGACGGAAGGGGCATCAGTGGCTCAACACCTAAATGAACTCAACACAATCACAACCCAGTTGAGTTCAGTGGAAATTGAATTCGATGATGAAGTTCGAGCTTTAATTCTCTTATCATCTCTACCAGACAGTTGGAATGCTACTGTTATAGCAGTCAGCAGCTCGTCGGGAAACAACAAATTAAAATTCGACAATGTTCGGGATCTGGTACTGAGCGAAGAAATTCGACGGAGAGAATCCGATGAAGCATCAACCTCCTCAGCCTTGCACACGGAGTCTAGAGGGAGAACTTCATAAAGAAATTCAAATCGTGGCATATCCAAATCCAAAAGGGAAAAATCAAGAACGTGAAAGAAAGATTATACCTGTTATAATTGTGGCAAGAAGGGTCACTTTAAAAGAGATTGTCGAGCACTGAAGAAAGATACCGACGCACAGGAATCTGCCAATGTGACTGAGGAGATAGGTGATGCCATGATTCTAAGCGTCAAAAGTCTGATTGAATCATGGATCTTGGATTCAGGGGCATCTTTCCACTCCACCCCATGCCAAGAAATCTTGGAGAACTATGTCAGTGGTGATTTTGGGAATGTTCATCTAGCTGATGATGAAACCTTGAAGATTGTCGAAAAATGAGACATTCGATTAAAGTTGCCAAACCAGACCACCTGGACGCTGAAAGGTGTGAGACATATTCTTGGTCTCAAAAGAAATTTGATTTCTATTGGACAGCTTGATGGAGAAGGATATAGCACAACTATTTTAGGCTGTGAATGGAAAATTGCCAAAGGAGCACTCGTCATTGCTCGTGGTAAGAAGACTGGTACTCTCTATGTAACCTTAAACTTAGAGAATATCATTGTTGCAGCAGATGCTGGTGGAAAATCAAACCTATGGCACCAGAGGCTTGGTCATATGAGCGAGAAATAGATGAAGACACTTTTGTCAAAAAGGGAAGCTGTCAGATCTAAAGAATATAGATATCGGACTATGCGAGGATTGCACCTTTGGCAAACAAAAGAAAGTCAGCTTAGCAAAGATTGGTAAGACACCCAAGGCTGAAAAGTTAGAGTTGGTTCATACTGATGTATAGGGACCATCTCCAGTTCCATCTCTTGCAAGCTCATTATATTATGTCACCTTCATCGATGATTCTACAAGGAAGGTGTGGGTTTATTTTTCTGAAGAAGAAATCAAAAGTCTTTGATACCTTCAGAAAATGGGAGGCCATGGTGGAAAATGAGATTGGTCTGAAAGTCAAGTGGTTGAGGTCTAACAATGGATGAGAGTACAGAAATTGTAGATTCAGAGATTTCTGCGCAAACAATGGGATCAAGATAGAGACAACAGTTCCCATGACACCGTAGCAGAATGGCGTAGCAGAGCGCATGAACAGAACTCTGAATGAACATGCCAGAAGCATGAGGATACATGTCGGATTACCCAAATTTCTATAGGCTGAAGCTATCAACACTGTAGCTTACCTAATCAACCGTGGGCCTTCAGTTCCCTTGGATGGTAGAATATCGGAGGAAGTTTGGAGCAAGAAAGAAATAAACCTTTCACACTTAAGAGAGTTTGGTTGTATTTCTTATGTACACATAGACTCTACTGAAAGAAGTAAACTTGATGCTAAGTTCAACAAATGTGTCTTTGTTGGTTATGGTGGTGATGAGTATGGTTACTGATTTTGGGACTACGAAAATCGGAAGATCATCAGAAGCAAAGATGTCATTTTCAATGAGAATGTGATGTACAAAGACAGGTCAACCATAGAATCAAGTAGCTCAAATATCGAAGCTGAAACAAAGGAATTTGTTGAGTTCGAGGAGATTTCTGGAAATGATGTTCAGATCAGTCCTGAAGCAGTTTAAGAAGAACCAGGCACACCAGAACTAAGATGCTCCTCCAGAATTCCTAAACCAGCCCAGCGTTATTCGCCTTTTTTGCACTATTTATTACTGACTGACAATGGTGAACCAGAGTGCTATGATGAAGCAATGCAGGTGGAGGATTCAGTCAAGTGGGAGTCTTCCATGAAAGATGAAATGGACTCGCTTATGTCAAATCAGACGTGGGAATTAGCTGAATTACCACCAGGCAAGAAAGTGCTCCATAACAAGTAGATTTACAGGATCAAAGAAGAGCACGATGGGAGCAAACGCTACAAAGCAAGATTGGTTTTCAAAGGCTTTCAGTAAAAAGAAGGTATTGACTACAATGAAATTTTCTCTCCAGTCGTAAAATTGTCTACAATCAGACTGGTGTTGAAAATTGTAGTTGTAGAGAATTTACATCTTGAGCAGTTAGATGTAAAGACAGATTTCCTTCATGGTGATTTGGAGGAAGAAATCTATATGAGGTAGCCAGAAGGCTTAATAGAGGCAGACAAGAAAAACATGGTATGTAGGTTGAAGAAGAGCTTGTATGGTTTAAAACAAGCTCCTAGACATTGGTACAAGAAGTTCAATAACTTCATGAGTAGCAGTGGTTTTACCAGATGCCAAGCAGATCATTGTTGTTACATCAAGAGGTTCGACAACAGCTTCATTATTTTATTATTGTACGTTGATGACATGCTCGTTGTAGGCTCAGACATGCAAGAGATTATAAAATTGAAGCAAAAATTGTCGAAGCAGTTTGCTATGAAGGATCTAGGCGCTGCAAAGCAGATTCTTGGGATGAGGATCAAGAGAGACACAAAGTTGGGGACTTTGATGTTATCACAGGATGAGTACATCAACAAAGTACTCTCCAGGTTCAACATGCAAGATGTTAAACCAGTAAGTACACCTTTAGGTGTTCTTTTTAGACTCTCTAAAGAACAATCACCAACGACGGAGGAAGAACGTGCACACATGGTGAAGGTGACGTATGCCTCAGCAATTGGAAGTCTGATGTATGCCATGGTTTGTACCAAACCAGATATTGCTCAAGCAGTGAGAGTTGTTAGCAGGTACATGAATAATCCGGGCAAAGTACACTAGGAAGCTGTCAAATGGATCCTCAGATATCTGCAGGGTACTACAAATAAAGCACTTTGTTTCAAATGTGGAGATTCGATACTGACAGGCTATGTAGATGCTGACTTAGCTAGAAATGTTGACATCAGAAGGAGCACTACAGGGTATGTCTATACTCTAGGAGGTACTGCAGTGAGTTGGGTTTCTCAACTACAGAAGATAATTGCTCTCTCCACAACTGAAGCAGAATATGTCGCTGTTACAGAAGCCAACAAGGAGATGGTTTGGCTCCAAAGTTTCTTGGAAGAGTTAGGTAAGAAACAAGAAAACAATGTCTTGTATTGCGATAGTCAAAGTGTTATCCATCTAGCGAAGAATTCGTCTTTTCATTCCAGGACGAAGCATATACAATTGCGATATCATTTTATCCGGTCTCTTCTGGAAGATGGGATTTTGAAACTTGAAAAGATTAGCGGAGCTCAAAGCAGACATATTGACAAAGACGGTGACTACGGACAAACTGAATTTGTGTTCAGTTTTAGTTGGCATGCTAGAATAATAAGACGAGAAATGCTGCTGCACTGATCGAGGTGTGAAGACAGATTAAAATCAGTCTTCAAGTGGGAGATTGTTGAAAGTCAAATAAAAAAAAAGAGATTTGCAAGTGGGGCAGCTGAACTAAATCAACATGGGCGGCTAGATAATTCAACAAAAATAAGGTTGCCTAATTTTGTTGAATTTTGTAATAAGGTTAATTATTTTTAGTCATTAGACTTTAGGGTATTTTCAAATATTAGTCCCTAAGTTTCAATTATAAATACCCTAGCTCATTTAGCTTCAAAATCATCCCAAAATCATTTTCTTTCTCCCAATACTAGAGAGTTTTCTTGTGAGTAGTGAGTGTTTTGTAAACACATATAAATTTCTCTCTTAGTAAAATATATGCAGCAGTCCGGAGACGTAAGCAAAATTAGCTGAACTCCGTTATCAATTTCGGGTATTATTTTTCCGCTTTTATTTTGCTTTCTCACTAATCTAGTTATAGTGAAATTACTCGTTCTCAGTTTATTTCCCAACACTCCTTGCATATTAACATTGATGGAAGGACAACAGAAATACTTTTTTGCGTAAAACATAAAAAGAGGATAAGAAAAGACTAACAAGTTACATAGTAATTTTGATATCCAACAGAACTCTCGAAATGTATGCTCTGGATTTGTAACTTTTTCAGATACTAGTGCAAAAATGAGAGTTTCTCGAGCAGTCTAGCAATTACTTGAAATCAAGGAAAGTATTCATGTATTTTACATTGCAATATAATTATTTTAGGTTGCCAAGGTAAATAGTTACTACACCTTGAAATTTACTAACATATCAAACAAATTAAGAAATGAAAATGGTTGACGAATAAAAAAAAAACACTTTACGAGAAAATGTATACTTAGAAATGATATTAACCTCCCATAACTGTTTTCTTTTTTTATTATTAAAAAAGACACAGATCTAGTGCATAATTATGGCAAATTTTCCATTAGCTCTCAAAAGTGAAAACCACCACCAATAATTCAAAACAAATGCACTTAAGGAGTTTGAAGTAAAGCCAGTAAAACCAAGTCATGAAGCAATACGACACCATGAAATGCAAAGCAGCGTTCACCACCATGCTGAGATATTTTAGAGGAAAGGGGAGCTACAAGGCGTTGGTTCCTGAAGGATGTAATTCTGCATCCGATTCTATTTACGTTTACAATCATAATCATCATGGTATACATATAGGGAAATCTTTTATCTTGCTGCTTTCTCACAAAGGCTACAGCTGGAGAGATGACAACATCTGGTGACAAGAAGCAAGTTGCATTGCTTTTGAATAAGATGTCAGCTAAAATGTCAGCAAGTATACGACCTGGAATCCAAGATTAACAACAGAAAATATTGTGGTGAAGCGAAAGTAAAATTGATGCAAGGCAAGTTTAAGCCCCAAACTGACTAAAGGTGGTCTTCCACTATATTGGGGAAAGAAAAATTATAAGAAATTTGTCCAATGAATATGAGAGACTAGCTCCTAAGCTCACAACTTTTGAAGGAGTGTACTGGTTACTAGGAAGGTGGAAGTATCAAAGATGTCAAATGTCAACTAAAGAACCAAACTTACAATGAAATGCCAAGAAAAACCGAACAAACAAACAAAAGTAACCGTAACTCTACTTCTAGAAATAGAATGTTAACTACTTAACTATCATGATTCCTCGGAGTAAAGTAAAAGAGAGAGATAGAGAAATATAGCCAATCATAACGCTACTCTCAATCATTCTTTAATAATTTGGCCTAAGATGGAAATTTAATTCATAATTGGTGGACCAACCATAGCATGCCGTATGCAAGAGGAAAAAAATGATTTTTAACAGTTCTAGGAAGACGAACATTTTAAAACTGAATAAATCCTAGAATAGTACACCCTTTCAATTTCAACAAATCATATAGAGTAATTTCATTTAAAGAGATAAGGAATATAATCCAAGTCTGGAAATTATGCAGCAAAAACTTCGAGTATGTTTAATAAAGTAGATTATAAAGAGGATAGGATAGGGAAAACAAGTAAAAAAACTCAATCCAATTATGTATGATGATCAACCCCATTAATGATTCTATTCTTCTCTCAAAATTGAAAAAGAGAATCAAACATAATATTAGATGAAAGTTATCCCATTAGATAGATCATCCAATGCACTAAAGAGAAGAAGAAAAAAAACAAGTCTTGAAGGATTCAATTTTTTTCCTAACTCTGATTGCAGCATTCGTCATTAATAGATTTTTAACCTAAAACTTCAAAACTAAAATCACATATTATAACAAATGGGGTATCTCTTTCTGGACAGTTTAGGCTTTTATATCATCCCCACTAGCCTCCATGGTTAAAGACCTGCCAATTAGAACAGTGTCTTCATGGAGACATGTGTAACAATTCACACACAAAAAGAAGAAGATTTTGCGACTCAATTCATCATATGAGAAATAGTTGACCTGTTCATTTTCCCACAATTGCATCCAATGTAGAGTTTCAACGAAATTAAATGGAGAAAATTCAAAATTAAAACTGACCCACAAATCTACCAGTCAAACAAGTTAAAATACTTGATCAACACGGTTCTTGAAACATCAAATCTGAACTTAAAACAAAGTTTCAAAAATGCCGGCTATCTTCCATGCATTCAACAATCACTCATAGCTTCATAGGAATATATACCCATCAAAGCAAATGTTTTTTTTTCACGATCATTAAATTTCAAACAAGGAATAAAATAAAAAATAAATTATAAACTTCTAAACGTAGAAAATGAAGAAAGATTGTTGACGTACAGAATTTATGGAGAGAAGAAAGGCAAAGAGAATTGTTCAAACTTCAAAGTATTGAGTTGGAAAAAAAGGCGCAGTGGAAAGTTGGTTCACTTAACTGTTGGCCGAAAATTAAAAAAAAAAAACAAAACGGGTAAATTATGCATTTAGTACCTACTATTAGTTTTGGTCCATTTTAGTATTTAAACTTTTAATTTTTTTAAAAGCATACCTAAAGTTTAGTTTTTATTTTATTTTAGTATCACACCAATAAAAACTTAACGTTATTAGTACTTAAACTATCAGTTTTGATCTATTTTAGTACCTAAATTTTCAAAAAAAAATCAAAATTTGAAGTTAAATTTTAAATGGATACTAAAATGAAACAAAAATTAAAATTAAATATAATTTTAAAAATTTAAAAGTTTAAGTACTAAAATATCAAAACTGTGAAATGCGTAATTTACCAAAAAAAAACAAAACAAAACAAGAACGGTTTCAAATATTAGCCAAACGGCAAAACGATATCGTACAGAACTTGTGCTGTCACTTTTTTGTTAGAAAATTAGAAACGTGCACTGACTCTTATTTGAGATAATTTAGATTAAATATAATTTAGATAAAATTTATTTTAAGTTATTATTACAGTTGAAAGTTTTTCTTTTATAAATAATTTTTTATATTATAATATGTCTTATTTATAAATTTTAGTTTTAAATCCTAAACATTAAAATTTTAAAATTATAACTCTTAAATATTAAAGTAAAAGATATAATAAAATTTGAACATTTAATCTTAATTAAGAAACTAAATGTCTTATCTCACTGAATCAATTGATTTTTAATTACATTTTTTAACTATTAAAATTCAATAAAATCATTAAAATATAAAATATTCTTCAAAAATCTAAAATCTCTTTAGAAAACTTTGTTTATTTTTAATTTTTGATAATTTTCAAATTTTTAATGAAGCTTATTATATTTTTAAACGATTTTATGAATTTTATTTCTTTTAAAAATTTTAATACAATTTTTAAAAATATATAAATTTGTAACATAAATTTGATATTTTAAAATTTTTATATTTTTAAGATTTTAGAAATTTCTTCAAAATTTGAAAAATAATATTAAGGAAAAACATTATCAAGGTTAAATAATGATTCAGCTATTGAACTATATCACATCTAACGTTGTGATCCTTGAAGAAATTTTATTATATCAATAAATGATTAACAGTTGCACATGATTGGAACAAAAATAGAATGACTTTTTCGCATTAAATATATTACACGTTTTAGATTATTTTTTAAAAAATAACATGAAAAATTATCATATTTTAACTTTATTTTTCCAAATTATGTGTTTATATTAATTATCTATTGATCGATCAATTCGATAAATTATACGTTTAGTAATTAAATTTTATCCTATCTCCTATTTCACTCAATGTACTTACAGTTTTTTCAATTTACTCACTGAACTTTATAGATTGAATTTTTTTTGTCGTTCCGTCATTAAATAATTAAACGGTGCTATGGCATGACAACTTATCAAAATGATGTAGTTTTAAATTCCTGAAAAAAATTAAATTTTAGACTAAAACGATGTCATTTTGATTAAAATATGACCATTTAATAATTTTGTTAATTATTTAACGCTAGAGTGATAAAAAAATTAATGAGTAAATTGAAAAAATTAAAAGTACGATAAGTGAAATAAGAGATGATTAAGTTCAATTACCAAACGTGTAGTTTACCCTCAATCAATTTGCAGTATCATGTTTTAACTTTATTTTTCCAATTATGTGTCTATCTATATTAGTTATTTATTGGTCAATCAATTTGCGTTATTCAATTGTGAACGATAATAGGTGATATATTAGACAGTCAAATAGATAAAGGATCAATTTGATAATAAAAAGTCTTATTCAGGTGTGATGTTTTTTGAATGGATCATATTATCTTATTCAATGAAAAAGGACGATAGAGTACAATGATAATCAAAATAATAACTAAGAGTTAAATCGATAAGAAAATTATAGTATAAATATTAAATTTATAATTTTATTAAAGTTTAATTAAAAAATAAGTGTCTAAATTACACTATTTTTTAATGGGTGTTTAATTTTTTTTCGACTCATTTAGGTGTCTAACGTTACAAACGATTATTAAAATATTACGTTAAATGATATGTGTCGTATTTTGATAATTTCGAATATTTTATTTTCAAAAAAAAAATCTAAAAGAAAATTATTATATTAAAAAAAAACCCACCCCATTCCCCGTCCCCTCCCTCCTCTCTATTATTACTAAGATGGAATTCATGGATGATGCTACATGAAACACGACTGAGTGTAGCACCCACCGTGTAATTGATGTATTGAATGACAGATTACCAATTATGGAAATGTAAATATGAAAATATATTCTTAAGAATAATAAACTTTAGGTGTATATCATATAGAAGTTAATTGAAATGTACAAAATTCAATGTTAGTTTATAGTAATGAATAATAAACAAAAATAAAATAGGAAATAAATAATAATTTAAAGTCTAGTTGTCTATAAATTTAATTAGTAATCAAGAGGATAGTGTAGACCTAATAATTTATTATTCGTGTTTTTTTTTTCATGTAAATGATAATAAATGGAGTACAATATTAGAAGAATATTCAAAGACGCGTTATGGTCCAAATACAACATTTTAACATTAAAGACAATCGACATGGCCGCCATTCATCAGGGGCAGCTCATATTGCCCCAAAAGCATGCATCAGATCAGATAAAGCTCGAAAAGGATAAATAACATTCACATTGAACAATTACCAAAATACATATACAGAGTGATAATAGTGCAACAAAATTCAGACCAGACCACCTACTGGATCTATACACTTTTTCCTCCTTGTTTTTCCATGGTGATCTCCACAATAAAAAAACCCCAAAATCTTTATATTACAACAAAAAACAGGATTTTGCTAAATCCCAAAGCAGTAGATATTACTAATCCAATAGCAGCAAAAAACACATCATGTTCAAATATATATACACTACTAAACAGAAACTCGTCTCTTCATTCTCACTGTTTCTCAAAATTACCCAAAAATCCTCCCTCGTTAATCTTGCTTCGGCTTCTGAATCGGTGGAGGGTGGTGGCATCTAGCTTTCCTTGTATTTACACTTTTGATTTTAATTTAAGTGTCTAAGCCATAGCAGGGATTCTGGAATTCTGGCGATCCCTGTTAAGGCAATCGAATCCTTCTACTCTAACTGTGGGCTGTTTAAGGCCAAACTTCATCCTAGCACACCCTACTTTGTGTGCCGATGATGATGGAGACGGAGATGGAACTTGCAGTGATGCAAGTGTTTCATCACAAAATCGAACATCGTGCACAAGTGGGTTCGCAGCCCTACTTGGAGGCGACCCACAAAAAAACGGGGGTGATGATGCTACCTCGTGTGCAGATTGCTCTGTCTCCATATCCTGATGCAAAACAAAGATTGTAAACGAATATTGCTCATGCTCAAACATAAATATATCAGACTAGATATTTAAAATCAAAACAAAAATAAATAAATAAATAAATAAATAATTCATCTCTCAGAATCAAAAGTACCTTCTTGAGGATGATATCTAGAAGCTCTGCACCAGCTTTTAAATCATTTACCTCGGCTTGATGACTGCAATCAAGAAAACGTAACTCAATTGAATCATAAACCCTAAAAATCAAACCAATAAACCAAATAGAGAGAGTAAAACTAAAAGAAATTATACCTCATATGCAATCTCAAGGGCCTGACGGGATTGTTAGCAAGAACCCTATTTCGTCTCGGCTTAGGGCAAACCACAGGGCCGCCATCAGAGATTGAGATCAACCCTCTCATCTCCTCGTAAGCAGAAACGGCAGAGTTCCGTTGAAGATTGCAGGGATTCATCTTCGCTCAAAAGCCAACAGCTTCGTAAAGAACGCCTACTGAAATAAACAAAACAAAAAGTCAACATCCAGATCTAACAAACACAAGCAGGATTAGAAAATTAAAACAGCGAAACCCAAAGCTTTAGTTTTGATTTCGTTAATTATAACAGCATCCAATAACAACAACTACAACAAAGAAAAAGTAGAAGCGAAGAAAACCGCAGATCTAGATCCAGACCTTCAAAAAACACAGGTTCGCGAAGTGGATTGTAACAAAATCCACGGATTTATACGATTAAAGAGAGAGTTCAAAGAACAAACGAAACTCTAGGGGTCAATTACGAGAAAATGAATTAAGAAAAAAGCATCGAGTTGGTAGATTCAACTATTACAGCTAAAAACTTAACAGATCTGTTATGGAAACAGTTTGAACTCTTAACAACAAAACAGATTTGCTTTTCTAATGGAACGAAATAGAAATTGAGAAAAAAGAGAGAGAGAAGATAGAAAACAAAAAGACAGATCTATCATGAACAAAATTGAAAATTTTAGAGGAATTCATAAAATTAGTTGTCCATTAAAGATGAATATTTGATTTTTTTTCTTCAGATTAGATTACCTGAAGGAGTAATCCCTCGGAAGAAGAAAAAGCAGAGACAGGGTGGGTGCCACGACGTGGGGAAAGATAGCCGCTGAAGGTGGAGGAACTTATATAGAGCGGGATTGTACCATTGTAACACGACACCGTTTCTTTATTTTAAATTATTTAAAATGGATAAATTACCTACATGTCATGATTTTATGAGTAAATATATAAATGAACCATCTTATTTTAAACAGTTATAATTAGATCATTATATTTATCGATTATAACAATTAAGTCACTTTATCGTTAAATGTGTAATGAATTTAAATATTTTTTATATAAATTTATAATTTGATCACTTAGGACTAAATTTACATCTTAATTACTCAATTTTAAATTTAAATAACTTTTTGTTTTTTATTTTAATTCCTTACACATTAGTGTCAAATCAATACCCCATCAATTTGGTGTTTTTTTCTTGGACAATATTTTTTTTACTTTTACTATTCATGAATATGTAAAGAAAAATAAGTTTTTTTTTTTGTTTAAATTATTGTTTTACTATTTGATCATGTTATTCAGCTCTTTATAATCATCATCACCACTTATAAACTTATTATATATTAAATTAATTTAAAAAAATAATAATATAATAATTTTTTAACAATACAAATAAAATATGAAAACTAGGGGTGTTCAAAATCGGGTACCAGTATTTTTGGGTATCCGAAATACTAGGTACCCATAATTTTTGGGTACTAAAATCTCGGCCCGCGTATTAGCCCATTACATCCGGGTACTTGTATTTTTAGGTCACGGGTATTTGGTTTATAATTTTTTTTAAATTATATTAATTTTTAAAATTATATATATAAAATTTCTAAAAGTTAAAGGTTTATAATATATCATTCGCACATAAAATTTAAAAATTCAAATTACATAACGAAAGAAAATTTATTAAAAGTTAAAATAAAAAATATAATTAAATTTCAAATGTTTCAAAGTTAAAATAAATAATTTAAAAAATAATTTATAATGTTAATGTGAAATAATTTAAGAAATTAAGAATTTAGAATGTTATGGTGATAAAATTTAAGAAATTGGAATTTTTGAATGTTAGAGTGAAATAATTTGAGAATTATAAATAAAAATTTAATAAAAAATAAAAAATATATATATAATAAAACGGTATCGGATCAGCGGATATCCGATTAAGTAAGATTTTGTGACTTGGAAACCCGAAAAATTAACGGGTCGAATACCTGACCCGAAAAATGATATATTTTCAAAATAAATACTATATATCTTTTAACCGAATCGACAGGTCGATAAGTCACATGAACCGGATCTGAAATTTTTGAATGAGAACATCGTATGTTTCAAGAAAAATGCATGACAACATCATCATTCTCTCCAAAGTTTCTTACATTAATATATAACGAAAATAAAATAAATTATTTCATCTTTTTTATGTAATGGTATAATAAAATGGGTAAACTATATCATTGACCACCCAATTATAGCCCCTTTCATTTTGAACACCATTTTAAAATTTTTATCAATCGGGTCACCTAACTATTTAAATGCATTCAATCATGTCATTTATCATTCAATCATGCATTCAATCGTTAACTATTTAAAACCATTTTAAAATTAAAGCCAAAGAAAGGGGCATGAAAATCTAACTCAGGTCACTTGGGTGAGAAGAAGGAAGACCAACCACTCAGCCAAGCTAATTGTTTGGTTTAAGTATACTCCAAAAAAGCCAAAGCTAATTGTTTAGAACCGAACCCATGTTAATATTGAAAAATAAATTTTATTTTTATCTTAAATTCATATATTAAATTTAATACACAGCTTACCATTATATATATATTATCTTAAATTTGTATATTTAAAATATATTTTATCTTCACATTAAAAAATAAAAATTTATTTTAAATATATGAATTTAAAAATAAAATATATATTTTTTAATTTAAAGATGTGAATTAAATTTAATATAAGAATTTAAGATAAAAATATTTTTTGCAATGTTAGTTTTGGTCTGATTCCAAACAATTAGCTTTAATTTTCTTGGCCTAAGAAATAATATTTATGTAATCTACTTTGAACCAAACAATTAGTTTGGCCTAGTGCTTAGTCTTCCTTCTTCTCAGCTAAGTAATCTAGTCTCAATTTACATCCCCCCTCTTTGTGCTTCAATTTTCTTTCCACTATGTCACCCTCTAATTGGTAGAAAATAAATATATTAAATTAAAATAAATAAATAATTTAATTTAATCATCAAATTAAATGGTGACACATGGCATCATCCAGTTGGAAGATTAATTTTATTTTAATTTATTAAAATTATGACCAAACTGATAGAATATATAAGTAGGAGTGATCAAATATGCAATTATATTAATTTTACTAACTGCTACATCAGCACTTTCGTTAATTGTTAACGACAAATGACCTGATTAAATGAATTTAAATAGTTAGATGATCCGATTTAAAAAAGTTCAAAAATGATAGTCAAAATAAAAAGGGACTATAGTGGAATGGTCACTGATATAGTTTACCTATAAAAAATTGAAAAGTTGTTTTACAAAATCAATGGAATACTAATGTAAAAATCAAACAAAGAAATGGTATTTTTGGTTTTCATTATAAATTCAACAATAACAATTAAAGAGTGAACTCGTCATATATACCATAAAAAAATTACACAAAATAAACTAATATAGATTTTTGGGTGGCTTTTTTGTGCACGGTATCATGTCTATCTTGCGCATGTATAGCTTTTTCTTCTTTGTTAGTTTTGCATGATTTTTCTAAGGGTAAAGTATAGTAATGGTCATTGAACTTTTTTAAAATTTTTATTTAGGTCCCTCAGCTTTTAAAACTTGCAATACAGTCCCCCAACATTTAGTCCGTTTGCAATATGGTCTCCCAATAGTTACATTGAGGACCATACTGCAAACTGACTAAATGTTAAAGGACTGTATTACAAATTTTAAAAGATGGAGGACTTAAATAAAAGCTTTAAAAAAGTTCAGTGACCATTACTATACTTTACCCTAATTTTAATTAAATTTCGCACTTTTGTTATTTTGTCTTTACTGACGGGGGTTGCCTTTAATGGCACGAGGAAAGAGAGGGGGAACTCGTACAGCTTGCTTTGCTCCCTACGTCTTATAGGGTTTTATTCTTTCTTCTCATTTACTCTTTTTCATACACTCTTTTGCCTAACTTCTTTTTCTCTGTTTTTGAGATCCGTGTTGTTTTTTCCTCTTTAGCTTCTTTCCAAGCTTCCGTTTGTAAGAACTGGAAACAGTTACAGGTGCGTTTGAAGTACACGTTTCGAAGTTTTTGATAGGGAAACGGTGGCGGGTTAATGAACGTTGCTCTTGGTGAAGAATCAAACCTAGAAAGCTCTAGACTCGATGAAGAACAAAGGGGAAAGAATAAGGGAAGGTGGCGACATTCAAGTAGGGTTCTTAGGGTTTCTTTTAGATGCTGGAAACAAGGTGAAAAACAAGATTAGAACGAGATAAACAAAAGATAAAGAACTTAAAAATAAAAGTATGATAATCAAGAAATCAAAAGATCTCCCTTGTGAAGGTGGATGGCAAAGATGATGATGGTGATGATGGATTTGCAGAAAATAGATGGATAATGTCTTATCGAGCCCTTCTAGTCGCAATGAAAAGGCAAACACGATAATATGGCTCTAACCAACCCTCCTAGTCGCAATGAAAAGGCAAATTGGAGTGTGAAGTTTAATCTCCCTGACAAGAACTTGAAAGAACTTCAGGAGAAGAAGCTTCGAAGGCACAAGGCAATCAGCACTTGGAAAAATGAACTCTCGTTGTATTATTAATCAAAGAAATCTGATTTACAAAGTTGTATTATTAATCAAAGAAATCTGTTTTAACCCAACCTTAATTCCTAATAAAATGATAAATCTAATCCTATAAGATAATCCTTCATCCTATATTAAATTATATTACAAATAATCAATATAAATATTAAAAATTCGTAATATTTACAAAATTACGTATTAATCCCGTATAGGATTTCCTGCATGCACCGTCTTCAGTAAAATGGTCATATCTTGAGTTTCCGATATCGGATTGATGTGATTCAAGAACCGTTAGAAATATAAGAGATAGAAGGTCGTATCTCCAGAAGACATCTTGACAAAATAAGATCAGGATCCTATTCAAAAAGTCGTCGCAAGTCTGCTTCTGTTCTGATCTTCTTTTCCAATGCTTGGACGTGTGGATCATTTGGAAGAGTTATTACTTCTTCCTTTGATGTGAGCCTTATGATGCATGTATCATCCTCCCTTTCTTCAAAAAGATTCGACCTCGAATCAGGATCAATGTGATGTGTCTTTATGAGTTTTAGTCGAGGTTTCTTCTTTGTAGGATATGATTTCTTGTAGTCTTGAAATCCTCTTTTGCATACAAGTCTTGTAATATGATGTTTAGGTTGAAATTCAACATGGCGCCGACCACTGTTGGCTTTCTGTATGATTGCTTCAGATAATTTCCCCATGGTTTTATTCTTGTGTGGCAAGAATGAGTGTTTAAAAACCATGTCAACTGGTTTGTTAAAGTAATCCCTTAAGTCTCCTAAGTGTGGTTCATGAATTAAGAATTCTAGGGAGGAGATTTATGGATTGTAAAACCTTCGTAGTAGTGCATCGTCTACTGTGTTTTGCTTACCTCGGTTTATTACGTACTTAAAGGAGTTGTGTTTAGTATGGATGACAACTTCACGAGCCTTACCTTGTAAAAAGGAGAAGAAATACGTTACAATGTCATTAAAATGAGTAATAAAATACTTACCTTTGGACTCCCGTAAATCGTGACTCTTCATTGATATGGCATAGTGATTAGGGATTTCAGGTGGTAACTCGTCAGGAGGGTCACCTAACACTATTCGACAACTCTTGGCAATGGAAGATGGTGTGGGCCGGTCTCGTGTTACTTTTACTTTTTTATCATTTACATGGATTTCCTGTAACATCCCAAATCAGGGTCAGTGATTAAATTGCAAACTTTGAAAGTTTTGTGTTTAATTTAGAAATAAAATTAAAAGTCTCGGGATTTTAGTAAAGAATTTTAATATTGGATTAAATAGCAAAGATAGATGAACTAAAGGGGCAAAATGGTCTTTTCATGGGAAAGATTTTTATCTTCCCTTTTTGAGTATTATATAAACGTGGGAAATATGAGAGAGTTCCAGACTTCTCTTCTTCATTCTCTTCTTTTCCATCGTGAAGCCATAAGCAAAGGTAAGATCTCTTGTTAGTTGATATTTAGCTGAATTTAGGATTTGGTTATGATTATTGGATGATAATTAAGCTTAAGGAAAGCTTAAATCATCTTAAAAACAAAGGATGGTGGAATTAGGAGAGATTAAAGATTTTGAGTTTTTGAATGAAATCTTGAAATAAAGTTGATAAGTTGAATTTTAAGTTGAATTTGACTTGTCAATAGTTGAATTAAGAGATTTAGAGTGATAGAAAGGAATTTAGAACATGTTGAAATTTGAGAATAATTATTGAATTTCATTAAGAGGAGAAGATTTTGAGAATTAAGATGGGTTAAATGAGTACAAATGGGTTTAAGTATGTGTGTTTGAGTTTAGTATATGAAAAAGGTTGAAATATGAAGTGTTTAAGATGAAATAAAGTAAATTTCGTGCTGAAAATATGATTTCTGGGCTAGGGGAATCGGTACCCATTCAAAGGGAATCGATACCCCCTCAAACGAACCAAAAATTCCAGAATCTCATAGGGGAACCGATTCCCCCACAGGAGGGAACCGATTCCCCCTAAAGGAAAATTGTGAATATGGGTTTAATAAGTTCGTTTAAGTTGCTAGTATCCAATTACAAGGTGTAGGTATCTAATGATTGCCTCAAAATGTACATTTATGTAGATTCTACGCGTAAAGCAATTCTAGAACATTTGGCAAGTAAGATTGATCAAGGGAAAGAAAAGAGATTGGAATTGACTAGTTAGGCCAAGGTGAGTGCATACTAGTGATATGTAGTGTTTAATGGAAATAAGACTTGCGATGAGTCTATTTCCTAGAGTAATATGCATGAAGTCATAGACATGATTATGTGTTGGTTATAACTATATGTGATTATATGTATTACATTGATTGTATGTATGCATGACTAAAGATAATGATATGCTTTGTATATGTTATATGATTTATGTAAAACTTTATTATGTAATAATGGAAGAACATGGAATAAGTTATATGATAGAGTCATAAGAAATGAAATGAACATGAGAGAATAAGATAATCAAGTATAAGTCATATGATATGGTATAAGTGATTATGCGAGAAATGTTAGAAGACTCTACGAGAATAGTATGAATTCGAGGGCATAAATAAGGATACATAAGTTATATAGAGAATATTGATAAATTAAAGGAAACTATGGTTTATGTATTAAAGTGAAGAGCTACAAAGTTTTATTAAAGAGTATTGTGGAAGTCATGAGAAATTGAACTAAATAAAAAGATGGTTTATGTGAGTGAAAAGGGAATATGATATAAAATAAGTGGAAATTATTTATAGGATAGAATGATACTAATTGAACCTGTAATATAAACTTTATAAATGAGTACTTGGGTAAAATCAATATATGATACAATTATAGAATATTACTATACAAATTATATTAAAATAGTATATATGAGAATATGAGTAAGTTTATAGGTTATTGATAGGACATATAAGAGTATATAAATGTATGATAATATGAAAAAGTGAACTAAGTTTAATGATGTTGAACCCTATGAGTAAAAGTTATGTGATTATAAGTAACATGATTATATGATCACAAGATATGATACATGATATGAGATATATGAAAGAGAAAATATATGTTATATGAAATATTATATGACTATGTGATTATATGAAAATGTTCTACGCGTAAGTGAACCATGTGTTTATATGTATATGGGATATGTGATTTATATGACGATGAGCTATGTGAAAGAACTACATGACTATATGTATATGTGAATGTATGTTAACATAAATATTAATGCCCATGTTATGTGTCATGAGAGCTAGGGGTATAGTTGGCATGCCAAGAGTCGAGGGTCTATGTGGTCCTTCGGGACATATATGTATTCTTTGGAACATGTGTGAAGTCTGGTGAGACACAAACTTGATCCTTGGCATATGTATATGATTCCTAAGGAATGATATGTGGTCCTTCGGGACATATATGTATTCTTTGGAACATGTGTGAAGTCTGGTGAGACACATACTTGATCCCTATTATATGTATATGATTCTTAACGAATGATATGTGGTCCTTATGGACATTATTATATGGCACTATAGTGCAATTCTACGCGGCACTCCGGTGCAATTCTACGTGGCACTTCGGTGCAATTATACGAGCTGTGGAGATAGCATAGTGCACAACCTCTATAGACTCGCATATCTATAGTTCTCACATGTGTACATGGTCTTTGAAAAGAGAACATAATTTGATATAATGATATGTGTATTTCTCGTGACATGGCAGAAGTGCATATATGTCATGGTGATATGAGATGCTATGCGTTTATGTATTATATGATTATAGAAATTAGTAATGTATTGTGCCATATTAAAATATATATAACATGTTTATATTCATTATATGCTCATATGACGGAATTGAAGTAATGACAAGGGAATTAGTAAGGATAAACAGGTTGGTGATATGAGAACAATGTATGTGATTTATGTATATGATGTGTGATATGAATTGCATGATATGATATATGTGTGATAGGGGTTTTGGTATCTGTTACATAATATACATGAATATATATTGATGTATATGTAAATGAATTGTATAATTTGATAGCATAAAACAATCATGCATGATTAGTGGGTAAGAATTCCATTAGATGTGTTTTCTTTATGCCTCACTAAGTCATCGACTTAGCGTATGAGTGTTTCACCCGCAGGTTACCGAAAGTGAATATAGAAGCTGTGAGGAGGAATACATGTCAGCATCTCCCTTACAAGATTTCAGATCAGAAAATAGATGAGTTAAATGATTTTTGTTATTTTGAATATAGTTGGCATGTACTAATTGATTGAGTTAAATATGCTCTGATCGATTTTGGTTATTGTGGTCAAGTTATGTAACTAAACTGCTTTTACTTTAATGAAAGTTTTAAATTTTATTTGAATTTTGTCAAGAGTCAAAGTTTGAAAAGTCAATGTGACACCTCATACTCGTATCCGGGTCGGGTACGGGTTGGGGGTGTTACATTTAATGGTATCAGAGCTAAGGTTTAGC